TCTGTCAAAATGGACTTTAAAACCAAATGCTTCAGTAAGAGACAAAGAAAGACACTACATAATGATAAAGGGAACAATCCAACAAGAGGGTATAACCCTAGCAAACATTTATGTATCCAACATAGGAGCACCTAAATATGTAAAGCAAATCTTGATGAACATAAAGGAAGAGATAGACAGAAATACACTCATAGTAGAGGGTTTTAACACCCCATTGACTTCAATGGATAGATCTTCCTGACAGAAAATCAACAAGGAGACTATGGCCTTAAATGACACACTAGATCAAGTGATTTAAGTGATATCTTCAAAGCATTTTACCCCAAAGCAGCAGAATATACATACTTCTCAAGTGCACATGGAATGTCTTCTAGGATAAACCACATGTTAGGACACCAAATGAGTCTCAGTAAATTTAAGAAGATTGAAATTATATCAAGTATCTTCTCTGACCACAATGCAAAGAAACTAGAAATTGATCACAAGAACACTAAATCCATGCAAAGACACGGAAGCTAAATAACATGTTATTAAACAAAGAATGGGTCAACCACAAGATCAGGGAAGAAATCAAAAGATACCTTGAAACTAATGGAAATGAGGATTCATTAATCCAAAATGTGTGGGACACAGAGAAAGCAATCCTAAGAAGGAAATTCATAGCATTACAGGCCTGTCTCAAAAACAAGAAATAGCTCAAACAAACAATCTAACTTTACACTTAAAGGCACTTGAAAAGTAAAAACAAACAAAGCACAAAGTGAGTAGAAGAAAGGAAATAATTAAGATTGGAGCAGAAATAAATGAAATGCAATCTTAAAAAAGGGATACAAAATGTCAATGTATCCTAGAGCTAGATCTTTGAAAGATAAATATCTACAAACCTTTAACCAGACTCATCAAGGAGAAAAAGTAAGGACCTAAATAAATAAAATCAGAAATAGGGGAGAAATTACAACTGATACTACAGAAATAGAAAGGATTGCAAGAAAACATGAACAGCTATTGCCAGCAGACTGCACAACCTGGATGAAATGGTAAATTCCTAGAAACATACAGTCTTCCAAAACCAAATCAGGAAGAATCAGAGAATTTGAAAAGACAGGTTATATCTAGTGAAATTCAAGCAATAATTAAAAAGCTTCCAAAAGCCCTGGTCTGAATGGCTTCACAGGTGAATTTCACTGAACATTCTGAGAAGAACTAACACCTCTCCTTCTCCAACTATTTCACAAAATTCAACATAGGGAAAGGCTGCCAAACTCATTTTATGAGGACAGCATTATCCTATTTCCAAAACCACATAAGACACTACAAAGAAAAAAACTATAGGCCAATATCCCTGATAAACGTAGATACTAAAATCCTCAACAAAATATTAGCAAACCAAATACAGCAATGCATCAAAAAGATCAGAAACTGTGATCAACTGGGATTTATTCCAGGAATGAAAGCCTGGTACAACATTTGCAAATCAATAAATATGATTCACCAAATAAACAAAAAGAAGGATAAAAAACACATGATCGCATTAATAGATGCAGGAAAAGCATTAGGTAAAATCCAACACTAATTTATGATAAAAACTCTCAACAAAGTGGGAATAGGGGGAACATACCTCACACAATAAAGGTATATATGACAACCCCAGTGCCAGCATCATACTCAATGGCAAAAACTACAAGCATTTTTCTTAAAATCAAGAATAAAACTGAAATGTTCACTTTCACCTCTCTTATTCAACATAGTACTGGAACTCCTAGCCGCAGCACTCAGACAAGAAGAAGAAATAAAAGGCATCCAAATTGAAAATGAAGTAGTAAAACTGTCTTTACAGTTGATATATGGTACACTGAGAACCCTAAAGATTCTACCACAAACTGCTAGAACTGATAAATGTGTTTAGCAAGGTAGCAGTATACAAAAGTAATATCCAGAAATCAGCTGCATTTTTATAAACCAATAACAAACTAATAGAAAGATAAATTAAGAAAACAATCCATTCACAATTGTTTCAAAGAATAAAATACTTGGAATAATCCTGACCAAGAAAATAAAAGACCTATACTCAGAAAACTATACAACACTGAAGAAAGAAATTAAGGAAGACACAAATAAATGGAAACATATATCATGTTCATGGATGGGTAGAATTAACATCATCAAAATGTCCATACTACCCAAAAGCAACTTACAGATTCAGTGCAATTCCTCTCAAGATTCCAATAACATATTTCACAGAACTAGAACAAATGTTTCAAAAATTTATATGGAACCACAAAAAGACCAGCATAGCACAACAACCCTGACAAAAAGAAGAGAGCTGGAGCAATCACACTGCCTAATATCAAAGTATACTACAAGTGTACTACAAGTAGTAATCAAAATAGCATTGTATTGGTATAAAAACAGACACATAGATAAATGGAACAGATTAGAGAGCCCAGAGATAAAATGACACCTTTGTTGTCCATTAATATTCAATAGAGAAAACAAGCATGTAAAATAGGCTGAAGAAGATTTATTCAATAAATGATGTTGAAAAAATTGAACAGATGCTTGCATAAAAATGAAACTAGATCATCTTCTTACACGACATGCAAGAATAAATTCAAAATAGATTGAAGACTTTAATCTTAGACCTCAAACCATAAAAATCATAGAAGAAAACACAGGCAGCAAAATCTTGGAATTGCTCATAGCAATATTTTATGGGATATATTTACCTAAACAAGGGAAAAAAAGAAAATAAATAAAGAAATGGGATTACTTCAAACCAAAAATTTTTTGCCCAGCAAAAAAAAAAAAATCAAGAAAATAAAAAGACAATCCACAGAATAGGAGAACATATTCTCTGATACATCTGATAAAGGCTTAATATCCAAAATTTATAAAGTACTTACAAAACTCAACTCCAGGAAATTTGACTTCTGGCCAAGATGAAGGTGTAGGTGGAAATACTGTGCTTCCTTGCACAACCAAAATTAAGGACAACAAAGATTTAGAAACAAAAACACAACCAGAACAGACAGAAAAGTGAACTGTAGGGAAGTACAACAACCATTCAACCAGATGGGTAAGAGGGGTGGAGTCGATGGCTGGGGCAGGGGTGACAGCAGAAAAAGGTGGTGGCTGGCAGACCTGGGAATGCAGGTGGCACAGGGCTGACCTCGGTCACACATGCACACACAGATAAACTAAGCAAAAACAGGCAGTGAGACAGACCTCGCAACCCAGGGCTCCAGCTCTGGGAAATAAAGCCTAAAAGCACCAATTGAAAAGGTGCCTGGAGAGACTCCCAGCCTCACAGGAGAATTCAGTGGAGAGACCCACAGAGTCCTAGAATGTACACAAGCCCACCCACCCAGGAACCAGCACTAGAAGGGCCCAAATTGCTTGTGGAAAGTGGCAGAGGGAAGTGAAATATGAGAGAGAGCAGAACAACCACCATTGTGCCTTCTCTGACCCTGCCCCCACATACACATCACAAGCCAGCCACTGGGTTGCCCTGCCCTGGTGAACATCTAAGGTTCCGCTCCTCATACATAACAGGTGCGACCAGACCAAAACATTATGGCTCAAGAAGAACAGCTCAAAGCCCCAGAGTCAATACTTCTAAGTGACCAAGAGATAGCCGACCTATGAGATGCACAGTTCAAAACACTGGTGATCAGGATGCTCACAGAACTGGTTGATTTTAGTCACAAATTAGTTGAAAAAATGAAGGCTAAACTTGTTGAAATGAAGGGAAATGCACAGGAAACCAAGTGTTAGAAAGGAAACTGGGACTCAAATCAAGGGAGTGGACCAGAAGGAAGAAAAGAATGGCCAAACAGAAAAGAATAAAGAAACAAGAATTCAAAAAATGAGGAGAGGCTTAGGAACCTCCAGCACATCTTTAAATGTTCCAACATCCAAATTATAGGGGTAACAGAAGAGGACGAGCAACAAGTGAAAAGCTTATTCGAACAAATAATAAAGGAGAACTTCCCCATTCTGGCAAAGGAAATAGACTTCCAGGAAATCCAGGAAGCTCAGAGAGTCCCAAAGAAGTTGGACCCAAGAAGGAACACACCAAGGCACATCATCATTAAATTAGCCAAGATTAAAATGAAGAAGAGAATCCTAGAAGCAGCAAGACATAAGGAGAAAGTCACCTACAAAGGAGCTCCCATCAGACTGTCAGAGGATTTCTCAAAAGAGACCTTACAGGCAAGAAGGGGCTGGAAAGAAGTATTCCAAGTCATGAAATCCAAGGACCTACATCCAAGATTGCTCTATCCAGCAAAGCTTTCATTTAGAATGGAAGGGCAGATAAAGCACTTCTTAGATAAGGTCTAGTTCAAGAAGTTCATCATCATCAAGCCCTTATTATATGAAATGTTAAAGGGACTTATCTAAGAAAAAGAAGATAAAAAAGATGAACAGTGAAAAGACAGCAAACTCACAGTTATTAACAACCACACCTAAAACCAAAGCAAACTAAGAGGACAGCTAGATCAGGAGCAAACCATAGAAATGAAGGTCACATGGAGGGTTAGCAACAGGGGAGTGGGAGAAGGAGAAGTGGGGAGAAGGTACAGAGAATAACTAGCATAGACTGTAGGTAGAAAATAGGGGGGAGGGCAAAAATAGTAGGGGAAATATAGAATCTAAAGAATTTGTGACACATGGACAGAAACTAAAGGAGGGGGAGATGTGGGAGAGGGGGTGTGCAGGGTGGAGGGGAATGAGGGGGCAAATGGGACAAGTGTAATGGCATAATCAATAAACTATATTAAAAAGAAAAAAGCAAATATCAGAAATCGAGGGCATTCTTGTGCACTGACAATAAAATATCAGAAACAGAAATTAGAAAAAAATCTCCATTTGCTAAAATAAATAAGTAAACATAAATAAATAAATAAATAAATAAACAAATAACAAGTGCTGGCGAGTATACGGAGAAAAGGGAACTCTAATGCACTTTTGGTGAGAATGCAAATTGGTGCAGAAAATCATTGCAGAAAATAGTAGGTGGGGTCCTTAAAAATTTAAAATACTCTTTTACCTATGGGAACCTGGTGTGCAATGACTGCAAAACACTAGCACCCTTGGTAGTATATATGGTCTATTGCTAGCATGGTTTGCTTTAAGGTACATTGGATGTGGCCCTTTCTGGTGGAGGCTCATGTCTGACCTCATGCTGTCCTCAGTCTAGGCTACAGACAGGTATGTGGGGTGCCTTTGGAAAGCCCCAGGGCACAGTGACCAGCATCTACATTGGCCAAACCATTATGTCCACCCCACCAAGCTGCAAAACAAGTAGCATGTGACAAAGGTCTTGTGCAGAGCCAAGTTCAAGTTCCCTGGCCTCCAGAAGATCCATATCTTGAAGAGGTGAGCTTTACTAAGTTTAATGAGGACAAGTTTGAAGACAGAGAGGCTGAAAAGTGGCTCATACCAGATGGCTGTGGGGTCATATACATCTCAAGTTATGCTCCCCTGGAAAAATCGTGGGCTCTGAACTCATGAGAGTCTCTGCTCCTACCTTAACACCTACTAATAAACCCTATTTGTTGTCCAAAAAATTTTTTTAAATGGAGCTGCCTATGACTCAGTGATTTCACTTCTAGAAACTTATTTGGAGAAACCTGAAACACTAATTTAAAAGAATATATGCAGCGCTACTTACAATTGCCAAAATAGGGAAGTAGCCCAAGTGTCCATCAGTAGATGATTGGATGAAGAAGATGTGCTACTTTTATATAATGGAATATTTCTTGGCCATAAATAAGAATGAAATCTTTTCATTTGCAACAGCATGGATAGACCTAGAGGGTATTATGCTCAGTGAAATAAGTCAGAGAAAGATAAATACCATATGGTTTCACTTACATGTAAAATCTAAAGAACAAAAATAAATGAACGAACAAAACTGAAACAGACTTATACACACAGAGTGGACTGGTGGTCACCAGAGGGAGGAGCGCGGGGGATTGGGTGAAACAGGTGAAGGGATTAAGAAGCACAAATAGGCTGTTACAAAATAGTCATAGGGATGTAAAGTACAGCATTAGGAATGCAGTCAATAATATCTCGATAACTATGTATGGTACGAGGTTTGTACCAGAATATGGGCGGGGGAGGAACTGAGATAACATAAGTACATGATTTTCTAACCACCATGCTGTAAACCTGAAGCCAATACAAAAGAGTATTGTATTGGCTTCCTCTTTCCTCCACCAGGGTGAAGTCTCTCTCTAGCGGCCTTTCCTGGAGGAGCCCAACAGGCAGCCAGCTGGCTAAGGAGAGAGGTGATTCACAGAAGCCCAGACTACTTCCTGCTGGGTGTGTAGCTGGGAGTCATTAGCTTGATAGGGGGCACAGAGTCCCTTCCAGCCATCATCACCAAAGTGTGGTACGTGCACCAAGGGGATACACAAGCAATCCACAAGGAAATGGGAAGAAATCCATTTTACATTTTTAATCTAAAAAGGTAAGAAAGGAAACTGTATTATATTTAAAGTGCAGATTGAAAGGGAAAGCTCTCTTTAAGAACATGAAGTGTGGAAAAATGAAAATAAAGGATGCAGCTAAGAGGAAAACGATCTAAGGGCAACAGCAGGAGAAAGACTGTTCTTGCTTGAATGCGATACTTACATGTGAAGTGGCAAGGAAGAGGAACACAGAGTGGTACCTGAGATCTTCCTGTATAATTAGGACATGTTTGTACTACTGGACACTAAAGAAATTCAATTCGAGTCTTTGACTTATTTTTTTGGATTTAAGAATCATATCACCTGCCCCACAATCAAACTTCCTAGCTATTTCTACAATCTGGTATGGTATCTGTAACAGTAGCAGTTACTTAAAAATAAAAAGATTACAGAGACAAAAGGGATGGCTGCTTTTGGAAAGATGGAAGGAAGTCTTTTCTAAGAAGCACACCTGTGCATTAAATTAGTCTTAATCAGGGCCAGCATCTTAGAGATGACCACCAACGTGAGCCTGAGACAGGGTAGGGGCCAACCCACAGCAGGTTTTACATGGCTTAACAGAAAGAAACTAAAGACCCTGGTAAAGACTCCATGCAGCCCTTTCTCCTTGAGAACTCCATCAGGTGTTAATACTATGCTCTACCACTGTTTCTCAGGTGTGTCTTAAGCTTTGATTTTATATTTACAGTCATGGGGACAAGCACATTCACATCTTAGTGCATTAGTTGTCATTTAGAGTAACCCAGAGATTTCTTTAGGTTTTTCCTTTTTTGAGTTTAGACATGATCCAAGTTGATGACCCTTTATCGAACACAAGCAGCCAAACTTCAAGATGAGAGGTTATGATGAAAGTTTGAATAGAGACATTGAAGTAAGAGCAAAGAAGACATTTACTAGGTAAACCACCAGATGGGCCGGGAGGGAGGGGTGGAGACAGCTGTCTGAGAGGGCCTGACCCACCAGACTAAAATGCTAGGGAGGTCATGCCCCAAGGCAGTGAGGAGTCACTGAAGGATTTTAAGTAAGAAAGTGACAAGAGTACATTTTTTATTTGTGACCAATCACAATATGGATTAGAGAAATTAAAAAACTCACTCAAGGACACCAGCGAAATTGTAAAGGCTAAACAGAATTATAAAGCCTCTTCCATAATACCAGGTGTCTATGTAAATCTACCTGGTTCTAGAGTAACAGTATAAGCAAAATATTCATTTCTTTTTTTTTTTACATTTTTAATTGAGCAGTTTGATTTCAGTGAACATCCTCTTAAACAAAACCCCTAAATTATGCAGGCTCATGGAAAAAAGAAATTGTATAGGTCATTGTGTAGTTCTGCTTGAGAGGCGACTAGGTTCAGGGCTAAGACCCCATCCATCCCCCAGCTCAGCTTCCTCTAGGTTAGCTCCATTTTCAGGCTCCAGCTGCTCCCAGATTTCTCTTCTGGTTCACAATATCTGGGCAGGTGTCATCCAAAAGTTCTTTTTGCCCCTAAACCTTTTACTAGGTTTCCCAGAAGCCTAGCAAACATCACCTAGAATTTTACTGACCTACTGCAGGCCGAATAATTCTATTAGGTACCGTAAGGCACAGTGTCTAGGTCACATAACACTTTTAGACACCCAAGAAAATGTCTTAATTTCTTGTGAAGTCATATGAAAATAAATGTCTAGGGTAAGCCTCCTTATAAAATAAGACTTCTCTGATAGTAGATTAAAAATTATTTGATAAATAATTTGATAAAGTGGAATATTGATTATACATGTGCATTAAGTGCTATCACTGTTTTTGATTCTTACACTGTTTTGTGTCAGATGAAAACATAATCTTAAGGTAGCTTCTGCTCATCAGGACTGGTTTACCTCGTATTCTTCATAGAGCTGTTTTCTAGTTCTCCTGAGCAGAGATTTAAAAAAACATAAATAGCAAAGTGTGCATTTGAATAAATTGAACTCATTTGGTGAACTGAGACACACATTCTTTTACAGAACTGTTTACTAACCAAAATTTCCTTAAAAAATACATTTTTAGGGAATGAGTCTGAAAAAAGCCAAACCTACATATATTTTAGAACTACTCAGCCACTGGGATGATGGCAGAGTTGTGGAGACAGGTGGTGGTGAGGGTGCACGACAGTGCGGATGCACTGTGACACTGAACTGTACAATTAAAAGTGGCCAACATGATCCATTTTGTGTTAAACATATTTTGTCACGATAAAAAGTTTTTAAAAAATTCATCCTGAATAAAACCAAATTTGACAATATTCTCCAAATTGAGCTTAACTTTCACTGTATGTTGTTTGGTTTGAGTCTTGAGTGGCCCCCACACTCACTTTCTGAGTGTATTTGGCTTTGTTTTGAAGGATAACATTTATTGGATACATAAAATATAACTCGTGTCCTTACTGATTCATTAAAATAAGTAAATAAATACACAGTCCAAACAAACATACAGTTTGGATTCAAAGTCATATCTTTAGCTCCAAGAAAATGCCTATTGCTTTTCTAGCATATGTGTTCAATACTTGTATTTGTATTTGCCAAACAATCACTCCTCCAGAGATACCCTATGACTGCTTTTATTTGGAACATGTTGGGCTGCTTTATCTGATGTCCAAATCAGATGAAAAATATTCACACGGAAAACTGGCTAATGGTTCACCGTCCGTCTTCGGGCCAAGGTGTGTACCTGGCCCAAATTATGTTCAGCTCTAGTCTATTGGGATCAATGCTCAACACAGAGTTACTCATCCTGTGATCCAGGAAGTTGCTGTCAGATATCTCAAGCAGGATTCTTCAGCCAAGTGGTTATGTATTTTCGATACAAAACTGACTTAGGTTTATACGTGTCTTAAACTCAGGGTGTTATATTCCAAGATTTTTTTCATGATAGTACATAAGCTCTTCTGCAGTAAGTCTAGGTACACAGTAATAAAATTTTTGGTTTCATTTTGTTTTTATTTTAACAATTTTTTGTTATGGTCAATTTAATATTACTTCAGCTGATTGTAGATATTTCTTATTAATTTAAGTGCATTTAATTTTGCTCATATATAAAGTGATTACTATCCAACTAAATTCAAATAGCTTGTTGCAAACTCTTCTTCAGTAATGCTTAAGGTTTTTTTTTCCCCCTAAGAAAACCCTGTATTCTTCTCTAATGTAGCTTATGACATATATATAATGGAGCATACCATGCTGAATACCACCACTGATGATGACTCTAGTTAATAGTTCAATCAGTTACTATGTAATGATGTCTGATCAAATAGATTAATTTTTAAGAACATCACGTTTGACTTGTTTTGAAATAGAGTGGCCACATTTTATATTTTGATCACATTATTGTCCTTTATTTCCTGTTACTAATACTCATAGCTTACCTAATTTACTGCCACCAGGCATTTTATAAGCACTAAATATGAATTAATTTATTCAATACTTACAGCACTACCATAGGTTATGTATAATTATTACCCTTATTTAATAGTAAAGAAATGAGGTACAGAATTTCCCTCATTTGTACAGCTAATAATTAAAGGAGTTACGATTTGAACCCAGGTGGTATGTCTTCAAAAGTGTTTTTAGAGACTTCCGCCAAGATGGAGGCATAGGTGGAAGCACTGCACCTTCTCACACAACCAAGTTTAAAAACAACAAAGTTTTAGCAACAAA